TCTGGTGGATCTTGATCGACCTTCTCGCTCTGGTGGATCTTGATCGACCTTCTCGCTCTGGTGGATCTTGATCGACCTTCTCGCTCTGGTGGATCGATATATTTTGATCCTATGCAAGATTTTGATCTTTTCGGGATAAATTAGATGGTGAATGGACGTCTGTATTTATAGGGTATTTCATGGGCTTGATTTGACTGTGGGCTCACCTCTCCGTGAGGCCAACGTACAGCTCGGTGCACCTGTATGTCTACAACCATACACCAAGTAAGTGACGACTCATTTGGTCATATTTTCTTGCTCCGATTACCGGTTAGCCATCTGCGCCTATAAAAGGGAAAGACTTCCACCAACACCAAGTGAAAAACCTGTCACTTAAACCTCAAGGTGTAGACACCGCACCAGCGTCGAGTTTTTTGGTTGCAGGCTTATTTGCTCCTCGGTGAACACTCTCATCCGAGGAACATGTGCACCTCTCCAAAATTCGTCGTCAACATAGTTTATTAACTATTTTACTAAATTATGAATAACATATTAAATACCTTCTAAAAATTATGATTTATACTAGTAAATAATAATTTTTCAGTAAAATAAAAATAATTTTAAATGTTTATTACTTTTTGTTTTATTAATTTATGAAATATTTAAAATTAATTACTAAATCCATAATTTTTTTGGTGGAGTTCTCCATCCCCAAACTAGGATTCGACCTGTATCACAATTTTAATAATTAGAAAAAATAAAATGGATACAGGGACTAAAATTACCAAGATTAAAAGGTACAAAATATTATATCCCTAATTTTAACAATTCCAATCATTCTATAATTCTACCAATTTGCACCCCAGTCAAATGGTTAGTTTATATTTTCCTAAATATTTAATGACAGAATCACAATTCATAATCATAATTTCCAAAAATATATTATTAAAATTAAATTTTAAAGAAAAATTGAAACAAGTAAATAAAAAAAAGTGATGCTGTAAAAAAATGAAAAATAAAAAAAATAAAAAGTTATTACTCGAAGATTAAAAGGTACAAAATATTATTTATTTATACTTCAAATAATATTTGTGTTGCATCCGAGAAGCTAGCTATAATTGCAAATGGTGAAGATATAATTGTTTTTGCACCTAACCTCAGCACAACCAATGTATTTTGTGTCCTTYCCCACCACATTCATAAAATGGCCACACTCATCGTTCACACACTTGTTGGCCTTGGGGTCGTAGAATTCCTTCTCAGTAGCCCAGAACTTCACCGTCGCCTCCGCCGTCGTCGACTCGAACGCCTCCGCCAAGTTTTCGGCATAAGGTCCCATCGAATGCTCCATCTCGCAGGTATCAACCCTTGTCTTTGCRAAGTTCTCRGCATAGTCAGCCAACGTCGTATTCCAAGCCACAGGGCCAACGCCGTTCTCGGCACGAATCGCATTGTGGACATCCACAAAGTCCTTCGGGCTGCTATTCGCAACCGCTACGGTTGCAGTCATGGTTAGGGTTAGGGCTAGGGTTAGCCCCACCAAACAAATCGTCGAGGCAGACTTTGGGACTGCCATTTTGAGAGATATTAGGAGTTGGTTGTGGAGATTTGGGTTTGGTTTAGAGTATTTATATTGAGAGGGGAGAGATGGGTATGTTTCCATTTTAGTAAATTGGTTTCAAATGAAGGGTAGGAAAAAAAAAAGGAGATAAGAGTGGAGGCACCAATGAAATTCCCTAAATTATTGCTCACAATGGAACAATGTTGTTGTGTGTGGATGGTAATAAAAATTTCTAGTGACAATTTTACACCACTAAATTGAGTTATCATTTATCTAACCATTATAACAATTTAAAGGGAATTATATATTTCATCCATAATGTTTGATATTTCCATATATATCGACATTTTATATTTTTAAGAGTTCGATATATCAATACTGAAGGTTGATGAATATGTAAAGTTAGTTTTGTAACCAAATGTGTAGGATTCTAATAGATTAACTTTCTTTATCATTCAAAAATTTGAAATTAGGTATAAGTCTTTTTTCTTTTTCTTTTTAATAATGACTTGAAAATAAAATGAATTGCTTTATAGTTATTTTAATTTTGAAGAAATTTTAATTATCTTTCGAAAAGACATATTTTATTAATTGAAAATGAAAAGATAAGAATGGAAAAAAAATTATTTTCAATCTAACTCCTCAAGATATCTCATTGACACAAAAGGTCGGACATTCGAATCTCTACCTCACAGGTGTTGAACTAAAAAAATAAAAAAATTTTAATTTTAATTTAAAAATAAAAGAAAAATGAAATAATAAATAGAAAATGATGCTGTTTAACTTTCGTTAATTTTGGAGTTGGAAGTTGAAATTGAGTCACTTTTGATCATATAACTTCTTTTAATTACGATTTTATATTTTTGTTTTAAAATTTATGTAGGGAAAAAATTTTAAAAGAAAAAAAAAAGAATAACAACCTAAGTTTCTCAAAAAAAAAAAAAAAGTCTTGATAAAGATTCTTTAAATATTTAAAATTTATTATCATTTAGTTTAATTCTAGAATATAAAATATTACTTCAATTATGCGATCTCATATTGTACACCATCCCAATAGAATTATGTTCAAAATGTTGACACCATATATTAAATTTTCGTCAAACATATTGACATTTTATCTACATTTTTCATATATTCATGGTTCAAAATCGACACGAGGAGTTAATCGATATTTTCGTACTAATGTAAATTTTTTTTGACAAAATATAAAAAAAAACAACAAAATATCACTAATATAGATATAATATTAATAATAATAATTTTTAACTTATTTTAAAATAGCGAATTATTAAATATTTGTTCAGATTTTTTTATTTTCATAACTTTTTAGAAATTATAAAAATAAAAAAATCATAACAATGTATTTAATAATTCGCTCTTTTAAAATAAGTTAAAAACTATTATTATTAGTATTATATCCATATTAGCTAGTGATATTCTGTTGTTATTTTTTATATTTTGTCAAAAAACATTTACGTTACTATGGAAATGTTGATTAACTCCTCGATTTTGAAATTTGAATCCTGAATATACGAAAATGTAGATGAAATGTCAACATATCGACGAAAATTAAAATTTAATATATGGAGCGAACATTTTGAACCTAGTTCTTTTGTGATGGTGTACGATATGAAGATCACATAATTGAAGTAATATTTTATATTCTAGAATTAAACTAAATGATAATAAATTTTAGATATTTTAAGAATCTTTATCAAGACTTCTTTTTCAAATATTTTTGAGAAACCTAGGTTGTTCTTCCCTTTTTTCTTTTTAAATTTTTTCCCTACAAACTAGCTAATATTTCATACATAAATTTTAAAACAAAAATATAAAATCGTAATCAAATCAAAATTGACTCAAATTCAACTTCCAACCTCAAAATTAATGAAAGTTAAACAGCATGATTTTCTATTTATTATTTCGTTTTTCTTTTATTTTTTAAATTAAAATTTAATACTTTTTCTATTTTTTTTAGTTCTACACTTGCGAGACAGAGATTCAAATGTCTGATTTTATGTGTCAATGATATATGTTTTGAGTAGTTAATTAGATTGAAAATATTTTTTTTTCTATTCTTATCTTTTCATTTTCAATTAAAAAAACATGTCTTTCCGAGAGATAATTAAAATTTCTTAAAAAATAACTATAAAGCAATTTATTTCATTTTGAAGTCGTCATTAAAAAGAAAAAAAAAGACTTAATACCTAATTTCAAAATTTTGAATGATAAAGAAAGTTAATCTATTACAATCCTACACATTTGCTTACAAAACTCGCATTATATATTCATCAACCCTCAGTATTGATATATCGAACTCTTAAAAATATAAAATGTCGATATATATGGAAATATCAAACATTATGGATGAAATATATAATTCCCTTTAAATTGTTATAATGGTTAGATAAATGATAACTCAATTTAGTGGTGTAAAATTGTCACTAGAAATTTTTATTACCATCCACACACAACAACATTGTTCCATTGTGAGCAATAATTTAGGGAATTTCATTGGTGCCTCCACTCTTATCTCCTTTTTTTTTTCCTACCCTTCATTTGAAACCAATTTACTAAAATGGAAACATACCCATCTCTCCCCTCTCAATATAAATACTCTAAACCAAACCCAAATCTCCGCAACCAACCCCTTCAACCACATAACATCTCTCAAAATGGCAGCCCCAAAGTTTGTCTGGACCGTTTGTTTGGTGGGGCTAACTCTAGCCCTAACCCTAACCCTGACTGCAATCGTAGCGGTTGCGAAAAGCAGCCCGAAGGACTTTGTCGATGCCCACAATACGATCCGTGCCGAGTACGGCGTTGGCCCCGTGGCTTGGAACACGACGTTGGCTGATTATGCCGAGAACTTCGCGAAGACAAGGGTTGATACCTGCGAGATGGAGCACTCCATGGGACCTTATGGCGAAAGCTTGGCAGAGGCATTCGAATCAACGACGGCGGAGGCCACGGTGAAGTATTGGGCTAGTGAGAAGGAGTTCTACGACCACAAGGCCAACAAGTGTGTGAATGATGAGTGTGGCCATTTTTTGAATGTAGTGTGGAAGGACACAAAATATATTGGTTGTGCTGAGGTGAAGTGCAAAAACAATTATATTTTCACCATTTGCAACTATTTTCCTCCAGGGGGATATCCAGACCAACTTCCTTACTAAACTTGGAAATGTGTTCATTGGGATTGGACCTTCAATAAAGAGCCAAGAGAAAAAAAAAGGGAGAAAAAAAGAGTTTTGTTGTTAATTGTTTTCAGTTCTATCCAGATTTTAGAGTAATAATGACTTTTTTATTTATTTTAACAAACCACGTGAGATGTTTCAATTTTGCTTTAAATTTAATTTCAATAATATATTTTTTTAAATTATGATTATGAATTGTGATTCTGCCATTAAATATTCAGAAAAATATAGACTAACCATCTGAGGTATGTACAAATCGGCGGGAATTAGAGAATGATCGGAATTGTTAAAATTATATATATATTTTTTCTTTTGGCATAATTGATTATTCTAATAGTTGATTTTCTATTCACTATATATATATATATATTACTAGAGTAAACTTCTATTATTATTCATCACTATTTCAATTCTTTCAAATTTAGTTTTGTAACTGCATTTAGTTACTATTTATTGTTCTTTCATTTTTGTTATTGAAAAAAAGGAAGGAAAATTGATTTTGTTGGAAATGTTTCTAAAAAAATAGGAAACAATAAGCATAAATTGCTGTCAATTAATTCTTAAGTTTTACAATAAAACTAAAAATAAGAAACAAAAAAACGGAAACATTATCAAACAGATCCTTAATATTATTGCACATTGTGTTGCAACATTTAACTAGTCGATAGCAAGAGAGAAGAGAAAAGAAGGAGTCAAGGAGGGGATCAGAGCAATTGTCCCTCCCTTCATCGAGCCTTAAATACACACGAGGCTACAACAACGGCTGCCTACTTTCTATATCAGCCCAGATCAGTGCCCTCTCTACCTCTCATCAAACGAGACTCTAGATCATATATTTCTTCATTGTCCATTCACAACAACTATATGGACCAGTCTCTTCAACATTTTCAAAATAGCCTTTGTGCTTCCTAATCACATCGACCACTTCGTATGCGAGAGCCTCTCTTTGCCACTAACATGGCAACACCATATATTATGGAGCAATGCTATTGGCGCTATTTTATGGAACATTTGGCTAGAGCGCAACAATAGAATCTTTGTTGATTCATCAAAATTGCTCCTCACCACGATATAAAGATGTGCGCATCTCTTTGGTCTTAAAAATCCCCCCACTTTTGTAATTATGATATTGTTACCATTTCTCTTAATTGAAGTGCTTTTCTCTAAAGCCTCCTCTTTTTTGTATGTTTCTCACATACTCTAATGAATGTTACATCTTTTGCAAAAAAAAAATATTAAAATCATTAGTGTGTATATGTATATGTATATGTGTGTTTGTGTTTGTTATATTTCTTATTATGCCAATCAATTTTGTTCATATTTTTTCATTAACTTCATTTTATGTTAATGTTGTATACACACACTTATTATAAGTTATAACATATATGTTACGTGTACTTTTGAAATAAAATATTATTAGTGATCTAATGAACATACTGTATATACTTATTTATACTAGGTTATAACTTACAGCCTTGGAGGTAGGCACAGATTTGGTTGGATTCTAGGTATTGTAGCACCGCTTGCTCTCGTTGGAGGAGGGAGGAAGGGGATGGCAAAGTTTCGATGTGAGAGAAAGAGAGAGATTAGAGTTTCATTGTGAATGAATGAGAGAAATAAGAGAGGAGATGTGATTTTTTTTAGAGGGAGATTTGAAGTTGAAAATTCCCTAAATTAAAGATTTTTCTATATTTGAATTTTTCTTAATTGTTTATTAAATATATATATAAGTGGGCAAATTTCTAAAATTCTATTGGGTTCCATCTGCCAACTTCAAGACAAAAGTTTAAAATCTTGAATCTATTTATGTAAATTGAAACTCCATATAGTCTAGTAGTTTACTTATCCTATATAAAACATAATTTTGTAGATTCGGTTTGACTCCATCCACCTAATTTTTTAGAAATTAAAAATCATATATATATATAATACTCTGCATCATCTTGGTCTTTAAAATCTTCCATTTTTTTAATTATAACTTATCTACAACTTCTTTAAATTATTCGTTTAAAAAAAAAAGAAAAACTTGTTTAAATTAGAGCGCTTTCATCTAGTTTTTGTGTATGTTTCTCACATACCTCTTAATAAATTAGTTACTCTTTTCAAAACATATATATAATATCACCAATGCAAAAGTTTTCGTATTCCTTAGAAAAAATCCTCGCTTCGCTATTTGTTTATAGATTAAATAATATTTAATAATGTGATAATCTATAGTATATATAAAAGGCACGAGAAACTTTCTCCCTTCATTTAGTACTTTTAATTTAAATATTTTTATTAAAATAATGATAATTGTCTCTTCCCCTCCAACTAACTCTCTCTCTCCATTTCTTAGTCTCTCTTTCCCACCTACATAAATGCTCACATCTCATAACTAATGACTAAAAAGTTAAATTCCCTTGGAAAAAATACAAAACTAAAAAGCTAAATTTTTAGGGCTTTTTTTAGAATCATCAAAATAATGAGTTAACTAGAATAACAATAAAGGGCTAATTATGCTTATTGTGTAATAATGTCAAAAATTATAATATAAAGAGTCAGAATTCGTAAAGTTTGTCTTTTATTTCTATAAATTAACTAAAAAGAATTATGAGTTATTTTCAATTATAATTAATAATGAAGTTTCAAAATTTGTGTAACTCTTTTATCTTCCCAAACAATATAAAGAGTTGTCTCTTTTTCTTTCTTCCAACTTTTATTCCCACTAAAACTTGATTTTTCTTTTTGTTGGGAAAAATTTTTCCTAACATATTTTGGTATCCGCAAAAAGTGTAATTTATTATAAGGTATGTTTTTCCCCTTTATTCGATGTCTTTCGTCCTTGTTTAAGAATCAATAGGGAAAGAGAATAGCAGGATTGTTATGAGAATTACATTGTATTGTAGGGGATCCTCGGTGGAAACACTATTTTTCTAAAGGGAGTTGTGTCTGAGTGTGGAACATGTGAGGGTAAGAGGATGAGGGTAAGAGGATGAGGGTAAGAGGAAGATGAAAGAATTTGTACCGAAGGGTTTAGCCTAGATTTTATTTATTTATTATTTTATTTGATAAAATTGAATGACTTATTGAGCTATGGTAGATAAATTTCTTAAGTTTTTCTTTAGCATTTTTAATTTGTATCATCTTAATAAACATACTTTAATTTAATTAGATTTTTGAGTGATATGTTTTAATTTAATTAATAACATATCTTGACAACTATAAATATCTAATTTAAAAACTATAAATGTCAAATTTAACAATAGCCCCTATAGCTCAGTGGTAGAGCGTCAGTCTTGTAAACTGAAGGTCTGTAGTTCAATCCTGCATGGGGGCATTAAAAAACATACCACAACCGAAGGATAAATAAAACCGCAGCAAATTTAAAATCCTCTACAAAAATTATCTTCAAGTAAATTTTTTTATCACCCAATAAATATTTATATAAAATCATAAATGTATAGACAAAGACAACCTTGTGAAATTAGGATCACCCATAAAGAAGATGCCCATTTTAAGAGTATTACAACTTTTTAATTTTGTTCCAAAAATCGGAACACATTAATTGTTAGCTACATTTTTCTTTTTCCTGTAAAAATCAAAAGTTCTCTTGCAATGGAGAGTTCACACACCCAAAAAAGGGTGGAAATGAAATCAGAGGATTTAGGTAATGCTCATCAGATTAATTTTGGAAAATTTAATGGAATGTAATTGACACGGTACTTTGCAAATATGAAAAAAAAAATTGCACATCTACTAAGATGTAAATACTGTTTTGCTCTTCTATATCACTCATTCACATTGGATAGACTATGTCATTGATAGATGTGTATCGATGATATAGAGTGATATACTATATCATAATGAATAAATATTTATTAATAACATAGTTTATCAACTAATATAATCTATCATTAATTGTAACAGGTGAAGTGCTTTCTAGCCTGTCCAATTCAAGGTGTTCTATATTGTGGTGTAATGCAATAGATTCGGTCTTATAGCAGTTTTGGTTGGAGTGTAACAACCGGGTCTTCAATGACAAAGAGAAGTTGTTTAATCATCTATGGAAAAATATAAGAGTTGCAACTAATAGATATTCCAAGCTATTTTAGTCTTACGAGTCAATGAGTTTGAGATGGATCTTGTTTGTTTAAATTATGTTTAAATTATGATTTTGGATTATATGAATATAAATACATTATTGGGTTTGTATCTAAATTGACGAATTGAATTGAAAGAAGTAGCTATTTATATTCTCCAATTTTCTCTCTGAAAATTAACAACCTTTACCACTAAGTTAAATCCTAAAACAAACACTCTCTTGGAGAGACTATTTTCAATGGACTAAATTAATAGCCACATTTACGAGAGGGAGAGAGAAATTGAAGGCACCTTTTATGGGAGACAAAGACCAATAATAGAACTCCCTAAAATGGAAGTCTACCTCAGTTGTGGTTTCAGTATAAAAACCCTAAAGGAGAGCCCTCAAACGTACACAACCAAAAAAACATAACACATAATTAGTTATCCCTTCAAAGCACAGCCTTTGCCTTTGAGTTAATGACGATCAATCATGGAAATTGGCTTAATGACGATCAATCGACACAAGAATATTTATTTTCTCCTTTCACTTAATATTTCTAGTTTTGTTCTGTAACTTTCTTTGGAATTTTGTTGTTTTACACTAAATATCAGTAGCTAATTTTTTTTATCTTAGGATTGATATAGCTATTGAATTTTAATTTATGGATTGAGTATTTAGTTCTCTTGATTGAATGAGTTTGAATATTCTATATATTTTTGTTCCTCTACGCTTCATGCCTTTAATCATTTGACCATATGTTAATTGATCTTAGACTTAAATCTTATGTTCGGGAGAAGTCCTTTAGAGATCATTAAAAGATTTTTCATTATAAAGCCTTTGATTTCTATTGAAAACTAGATGGAAATAACATTGGTTTTTCTTAATTAGAGTTAACTTGCGCTCGAGGCATTCGAGATTTGAGGGTTATTGACCTATAGAATTAATAGTTAGATTGATTAATTAAACATTGGTTTATAAATTCAGTAGGTGAAATCAAT